CCAAGAAAGGTCCACTCACGGCTTGGTCGTCGAATTCCAGCCGGTCCAAGTAGAGCAAGTTTCACTTCCCTGATGATGGCTTCGAAAGCTGCAACTCTTTGTTGGAAGCATAATCCTCGAACATTGGCGATGGATATCTTTAGGAAGGTTCGGGCACGGGATTCGCTACTGCCCACTGAATTTGACGTCGAAGTCATCGGTGGCAGGAAACGAACCGTCCGAAAGGAGGCAGACGACGGAATATCTGCGATACATTCATCAGCCAGAATGAGTTGGGGTAGGGGGCACACATAAGGGAAACGTCTGTTCCGCGCGTCCGTCGAAATTAGGTCACCCTGGCACTTCGCGCGCGGCGCAGCCCAGCAGTGCGGGATCTAATTTCGGACAGATGGACGCGCAGAACGAAGCGCACCCGCACACATAACGGCGTTATTACGACAGGGAAATAACACGGCGTCACGTGTTAAACCGTGTCAAAGTATAATAGCACTATCAGAGACGAACAGGAGTATGAGCAGTGGCCATCTGTGCCCTCTTACGCGGTTTCAGACAAAGAGTGTAATTTCTTAACTAATCTTCAGGAGGGAAGGAGTATCGGGGTGGGTGATATGGCAACCCTGTGCAAAAGCTCAAAACTTGCTCATCTCAGTGCTAGTTCCCTCCTCAGGCTCAGTTTTGAAAAATAAAAACAAGTAATAACGCGCAACACCGCGTTAATTCCTTGTTATACCAACACTGCGTCCCCCCCCCCCTTCACCCCAAACCCCTTACTACGACTGAATTTTCACTCTATACCCTTTCTTCTGTACTTCTTCTTCAATACACCAGGCCACCTCGTCACCACCCAGCTAAATGCCGGAGGGAGAAGGAAACCTTGTGCCCGTCGTAAACCTTAATCCTGTGCAAGTTGAATCCATTAGTGGAACAGTTTTGCACTGTTTGCGATTATTGGTATAGAACTTATTTGAAAGCAAGTACGGTCGCGATACTGGTGCCTCTTGCTTTTATTGTGAGTCAACCTTCCATTGTTCTTTTGAATCTGCCTCCTAATGGGAGACGGGCAGTAGGATCGGTTTCGTGTAATCGATTCGCCCCACGCGGCTGTCGCTGACCATTCGCTTCGCCCTTATTACGGTTCTAGCGTTCTTCTTACAGCTCAATCGATATACGATTATTATTTTGGGCCTGATACTATCGTTAGTTCTTTTGTTCCTGTATTTCTTACCTGCTGCTGCTTCCTGCTACATACTTTTGCGCCGGCATGATTCTCGCCGCGACGCGACTTTTCGCTTTTACTGCACCACAGTAATAATTCCTACTTTTAGCTCACCCTAATTTACGATGCTTCGTATCACATGCGGGTTTAAACAGTGTCCTTGAACTAACGAGAAGCGGAAAGCCGTCGATTCTGGTGCCAATTTTCGCTGACCAATTCAGGTTTGGCAGACTGAAAGTTTAAAATGTTTTGATGGTAGAGTTTTGAAGAGAAAGATCTGCAACATCAGTAATTCACCTATTTGTAGGATATCTACAAATAAAAGCCTTATCACAGTGTTTGCAGGAATGCGCGACTCGTGGAAGCGAAAAACACAACGATTGTGATCGCGAAGGAAGATTTTACCCAAGATCTTTTTGCGGTAGCACTTCAACGAGTGCTCGGCGATATAAGGTGAGGAAACGGAGCTTGGCAGATTAACTGCCCGGAAACTAAAGGTCTCTGCTCTGGACCTGGAATGCTGAAATTGCTGTTGTACAACTTATGAGGTTGTCACGTTGATGGCGCTAGACTGATTAGGGCTGCCGAATAGCGTTGGATGAGAAAGATCCACTAGATCTCTCAAGCGTTTCGAAGCATGCTTCTCTGATTTCGATAGGACAGTACATCTTTTCAATAAAAACGACGCTGCACTATTCGGGTAGAGCGCATTCGGAGGATGTCGAGTCTAGTTCGCCCTATTATCTAAATAAATCAACCTCACCATTGGGAAATTAAATTTCTGGTGAAGGACATGTACGATGGCTCAACCACAACAATACGCACTCCACACAGCCAAACCGGAGCAATAAATGTCACGGTTGGGGTACACCAAGTACCAGCTCTGAGCCCGTTCCTCTCCTGCTCACGATTGGCGTCATCACAGAACAACTCATAGATGGGCCACTCTCTGATGAGAAGACCATTCTCTACGTTGATGACATGGCTCTAATAGCGGAGAGCAAGGAAGATGCCCAGGAAAAGCTCCAGAAATGGCAAAGGGTGTTGGCCAAAAAGGTCCAGGACTTACCCTACCTGGGGAGTGATCTAACCGCTGATGGTAGCGTGGACCAGGCCGTAAAAACTCGAATAAATGCGGCATGGATGAAGTGGAGGGAATCCACCGGTATCCTCTGCAACCGTCGGTGCTCTAGGACTCTCAAAGGAGAGGTGTATCGGACAGCGGTAAGGCCCACGATGTTCTACGGCACCGAGTGTTGGCCTGTAAGTACATCCCATGATGGACAGCTACACTCCGCTGAAATGAGAATACTCAGATGGGCCTGCGGCTGGACGCGGCTGGATCGGGTCAGAAATGAAGACGTCAGAACGGCTATACAAACAGCCCCAGCTCAACTGAAGATGAGGGAGCAGCGCTTGCGATGGTTCGGACATGTACTAAGAAGCCCACAGAGCCATCCGATAAGGGAGGCAATGGAGTTCGAGGCCCAAGGTAAGCGACCACGATGAGCTCCAAAGAAGAGATGGCGGGACGTGACCAAGAGGGATCTCACCGAAGCAAAGGCGACGGCAGAAGATGCCATAGATAAAATGAAATTCAGACGGGTGACAGGAACAGCGGACCCTGCGACGACGCGGGATTAAAGCTAGGGAGAAGAAGGAGGAGACTGCCCTCACTCATCAAACAATATCTCTACTTCCTCTCTTGTGTGAGCCCTATAGCTTTTACCAGCTGTAAAAGCTGTTTTCAAAAAAATTACTTTTGTTAAAAAAGAACAGAGGTTACTTGCACGTAATTTCTGTGGACCTTTCAGCTATTCCCAGCGTGCTGAACGCTTGGCCTCGTTGATGGTGAACAAGCCATTCCCGGTACGAGATCGACTGCTTTCCTCTGTCAATTTCTCCATTCAACATGGAAGAATCTATGATTACGACTTCGGAAAACACCTGAACGCACTGCAGTACCACAGTGTAGACGTTATAGCATTTCTGATCATACTTGCCATATCCACTCTATTCATGTGGTTTTACACATGTAGATACTTCTTCCGAAAAATATTTCAAGCTAAAGTCAAAGCTGACTAGCTCTCATTTGATCTGAAGAGGTCTCCTAGTTACTATTAAGAGTAGCCTTTATTGTCAGTATGCTCTGAAGGATGGTTGTTTTTGTTTACTTTTTTAAAAATTTTATCGTTGAGACAACGTCCACAGCTTGCAATCGCGTGGTGTGAGAGATCAGTCTCCGCACAATCAATAAAAACCTAATGAAATCTTACATCGAAGCTATTACTGTGACTAACGGTGCGACCTTGTCACATACGAGCTTAATAAATAGTTCGTTATAAGCATCAAAAAATTCGCAGCAGTTTTTTCAATATGGTACATGGGCTGGGTGATGAAGGGAGTTGGGAAGCGAACAGATGGAGCACAACTGAAGCAAGAGCGTCACGGACCAGTAACCGTATAGAACCCACATAAATCACACTGAACAAAAGGGTTGCATTCACTCTTCATGTCTCTTTCCAGCAGAACTGATCCTAGCGTCAGGTAAAGGTTCACTGAGCCAGTTTCAGTTAAACTCACAGGCACTTTGTTGCCCGATAGCCGTAGCTCCTCCAGAATAAGGGTAAAGTATGAAACTATACGCACAGTGCTACCTCAACGTTACACGCCACGAATCCAAACTAAATTTGAAACACTGGACAGCTGAATGGTCGCTCATTTCAAGCAGGAGCATGCAACACGGAAAGCAGATTGTACCATCTCAAACAGGACCCCTGAGGATCAGAAATCCGGCATGGCTGAACTGAAAACCAAGAGGCAGAGAACTTTCACTTTTATACATCGTGCAACAATAACAACAAAAGTAACAATAAAGGAAAACAATACACAAGTAGTGAACGAAAAACCTTATGAAGGTCTGCTCTGCAACCAGTTCTCTATGTGGGACTGGATATTTCTCGGCGTTAGCTGTTGCTGACGCTTCTGAAAATTCAAACTTTGAATTCTGTGCATCGAAAAAAATGTGGAATTTATGAGCCCTTATCTACTCGAAACAACCTGCACTAATAAAATCAATACCTTGAGATAATTCTGTATATCCTCGAGATACTTCACGTCAACTTGTGAATAACCTCCTGCTTCTTCGATGTCACGCTCCATCAGCACCCATGGTTTGCTAAAAAAGCAAAGTGAGAAATGAGCATTCATCAGCATGAACACTTAGTTTCCGAGGGAAACCAGAACAGCACTTACATGGATGTCAGCTGGGGATTTAGTTTCAATGGACCTGTTGACGGTACTGAATGAAGGATATTCTGAGCAAATTGGCTCAATGAACGATGTCGTCGCTAAAATCAATAATAAATATAAGGGAAAATTGAAAGGTAGTCAAAATCGACGCCAACAACTTTTAAAAAGATTATTGTGAATACCCGCTTTGCGGCGGTATCATTTAAGGATGAGTTTCTTACGTCATTGTTAATCTCACCCGTGTTAGCATTTTGAGTTCGGGGCGTACGGTACTACCAATCGCATTGGAAACATCAGGGTCGTCGATGTCACAGCGAAATAGACCTCCGGCACCCCCTTCCGAATCATCTTCTTCTACAAGTTGCACAAGTTTCGCATGGGCCTACAACTACAGCTGTATAAATAAAACCATAGCAGTCGAATTATTGTAGGGCATTGAAAACATACAATGAAGAAGCTCCGTACGAGTGCAACGAGGCACAAAGCGGAGGGATCATCCATGACAGTTGCTATGGCCAAGATACGTTTCGTAAATGCAGCCACTCGCGATAAGGGTAACTGAAAACATTTTCTAACATTTCAACAAGTTCCGCATCAAAAAGCGAAACCTGAATGTTTAAAACAGAAGTATGAATCCGCCATCTCGTTAGTTAACTAACTGCCAACTCAGACATGAAAAGGAAGCGTGCTGCAAATCATTTTTGAGACTCTGCAACTGAAGAGGAAATTGTCGACAGAGAATTAGGTTGGAAATTATCAAGTTGGGAACTGTTTATACCTGTTCCTGGTTTCAGTATTCCGCATGTTATTAAATATTTGTGGCCCTACTTTCAACGCCATTCGAAACGTTCTACGTATTGCTCCAGCTGATTTATATCAATTTGTAGATCACCAAAATGGAATGTCAAATTTGGAAGTTAGAATTCTAGGCACCTCCTTACTTTTGTTCTTAATCAATCTAACCTTACAAAACCTCCTCGCCACAAAGGCTGGAAGGATGGACATGTAAGAGCTAACCTGCTTTCGTCGCTCGTTAATCATTGTGTCGAGTACTCTTGAAACCATGACCATATGTTTTCTCCTGACTTCTGAAATTAGTCTGCAAATAACCGGAATGCAGAACCGATGGAAAACTATTTATATCAAGCTACGCTACTTAGGACTACACTTATCTTTCATAACAACTACGAAAGTATTTTTCTTCAAATCTTTGTAATGAACCTTCGGAAGCTTTATATCCGTGTTACTTACCGGACTTTTTCTCGAACGGCAACTGATTAAGCAAACGATAAACAGAACGGTAAAATCGTGAGGGGTCGACATTTAGAAGTTGTCCATCTCCAGAAAGAATTACAAACACCGTATTAATGCAATACAACTGGTCCAAAATTCGCAAATGCTGAAAGTATGTAATAACAACTGGAAGAAAGAAAATTCCGAACCATGATCAATGTGTAAGCGCTACTACCTCTTTGTCCACAAGATTTTCCATGGTACACACTATATCTTCGAAGAATTCTACTCCCAAAAGATGAGCGAACTTGCTCAAACCTTCCAGCACTGGTTCGAGTAGGGCTACATTTGGCACTCGTTTCAAAACAGAAAAATAGCATTGGAACACGTGTTTCATGGTTTCGGTAGCCTGAAGACAAACAAAATAAGTTTGTTGTTTAAATGGAAAAGATCCGAAAAGATATCGACTTAGAAACTCCGAGAAGTAAAACGATTAATCATTGAAAAAAAAACAATTGGAATTACCGTTTTCAGCTTTGTAGATAAAGTCTCCGCTGCATCGAGCTCCTTCAAATCGGCTTCCAATTTATCAAGCTGCTTTTTGTACTGCAAAAGGAAAAGGTGAGAACATAACGCTCAACCACGGCAGCCATTTAATTTTCTATCATGGTCATAGATAAAGAATTTTCTAGCAAATTATCAGTTTGAGTAAAACTCCAACCTGAGTACAATTACCTACATAGGCACGATAATATAGAATCGAAAAAAAAGAAAAAAAGAAATGAGGCTCTGGAGTTTTCTACCTTCCTTGCAGTTTTGTTGGCGCGCTCCTTTTTGATCAGGGCTCTTTTCGCGAAAATTCGACCTTTCCCGGACTTCTTATCTTCATTTTTTACTTCCTGCAGCACTTCAAAGATGACCATACAGCAAAATAAAACGAACATATGCAAGATTCAAAACGTAATGAACACCACCTTGATATTTAGCGAAAGGAATGTGGCAATTAGCTGAGGAGGAACGTGCCCCTTGCGTTTGGTGACAAGTGAAGCAATACTCCGCGCACCAAACAGTGACATACGTAAATGAAGATCTTCGCGAAATACTCGATTCAGCGTATCGCACACTTCAGATACTACCTAAATTGCCATGCCTAACAAGACCCTGAGAAAGTACCTATGAAACACAGGGAGAGAAAAAGCACTCACGGTTGAATGACTAGATAACGACAGACGGATTAGTGACGACATTATATTAGTAGCGTAATTGAAATGAGGCGCAGCTATAACAAGCCTACACATGGACTTCAAGCACAACATTCCCAGTTTGTACGAGAAAGAGTCCTCACTCAATTTTCGACCTTTCGCGTCAAGCCCTTAAATATATCACATTAGCGCACCAAATAAGGAGCCAGGGAATTTGGCATAATCTGAGCACAATTTCACAATAACCTTTCTCTTAGAATGCAGCTACAGTAGTCTTTCTAACCCAAAAGGGTAAATGAATATAGGGCGGATTGGCGTGACATGTAATGACAAATTTCTCTGATAATTTCTGACTTTTCTGACAATTGAAATTTCTAACACGAAAAGAAATCCTAACGGAGGGTACGCTCCTTATTTGCCATGACCTGGTACAAATAGGGATACAAAATTCAAAAAAGTGTGGCTCGAACAGCATAGGAAGAATAAACGTACTTCCGGTCATCTTCTCACAGAACTGCAGGAACTTTAAATAGTATCGTAGCAACGACTCCTCAAACGTTTGCAAGCGTTTCGTCTCCTTCTTCACCCTCTGTTTCTTCTCCTCAGCCGTAAGTTCTCGAATAGAATATCCGGGAATAATATCAATGAAGACCTTGAATAAAGCAAATTATGGAATACGTTGGACCAAACAAACTTTATTCATAAACACAATAACACGGAAGGGGAAACTCACTTGAAGGATACTGACCACAGCCAGCTTCTGGACGCTCTCACGTACCAGTGAATGGACTTTCTCTCCCTGACACAAATGGAAAAGATCTCGTAGCTTATATACCTAAAAGAATGGAGTCATTATGGTCCCATGCCATTCGCCACTTGTTTCTTAANATGGTGAGCGTGAGTGGATATAGCCAGTTTGAAATCAGCAAGTAGTTCCTTCCTTTTCATAAGTAACTCAGTAGCACTCAAACCCGAGTAGTCCTTAAAAATGTCCTAATGCAGCTTGCAATAGCTAAAAGCAAGTTACATTTTCGATGAGCTGTACCTCCATTTCTGGTTTGACCTCTTCATCAACACTGCCTTGTTCATGCTCCTCATCTGAACTGTCCTCGCTCTTCTTTTCACGCGTCGGACGAATAAGCGTTCCATCCTACTTCATTTAACTATAGAATGAGCCAAAAAGTAAACAGTTTGTAAGCTGCACCTTAAGCTTGATAGGCAACATCTCCTCCAGATTGTCGTCTATCTGTCCATCGAACTTCCGTTTTTTCATTTCAATATCGACATCACCGGCACTGTCTCCTTCTTCCGCTTTTAACTCTGAACATAATCGATGGAAAGAGATAGCAATAAAATGTAAAAATGCAAAGGTTTGAAGTGCAAAAGGAGATCTGTACATTGTTCACCTTTCTTCCGCAATTCTAATAAATTTCTTTTTAGTAAGCATAGAAATTATCATCTACAAATGCTCCACCTCAAACGCCTTTAAGCCAAAGTATGGTCCCTGCTTGACAAGCGTGCAAAACAACAACATGGATGGTTTAGTTCCTATTGAAGAAAAGCAGAATTTTTCCCCACCAAACCACTCACTCTCATCATGCCTTCTTTTAAGCCCTGCAAACGCGCTGTTCTCCCAGTCAATATCCGCGTCAAGCATATCCAGTGGAAGTGTGTCCTCAGCTTCTTCGTCAAATTGAGCTTCACGATCCGCAACCCAATCGTCTTCCACCTGAAATGGTACGGTACGCTATCAAATGAAAAACCTTTTGACGAACTTCCTATTTTAGCTATTATAAAAAATTTGACATATGCTGGGTTGTTCATCTTTTTCTTTCATCATATTCATCAGAGAACTCTTTCGTGCTTGACTTCTGCTGTTTATTTATCCAGGCCCAACTATCTTAGTCTATGTATCAGCGGACTTCAAAAAACAGTACAAGACAATCATTGACTGAGGCGGGTCACCGCGTCGAGGAAAAGCTGTTGCCCAGCAGATTTTTTGTGGCGAGAAGAAAAAAAAANTGTCAATTGTCCAAGAATTTTTGAGCGCTTTGGAGCAGAGCTCTCCGATAGGAGGTGAATCGGAGAGCTCTGCTCCAAAGCTTACAAAAATTACCTACCACTTTTTGATCTGGAAATAAAGTGAGCACAAGAGTCGCTTACGTTGACGGCACGCTTTCGCGAGTCCTTCGACTTCCTCGCTTTGATATCTTTGAATTCATCGATCACAGCCCTCGACAACTTTTTCTTCTTGGCCATACGATTTAGCTTTCGCGTAGTCTTTCTAGTGTTCGAGGTTTTCATCATCTTTAACTTCCCTTCACGAGATGATGAAGCGAACCCCATATTGCCTGGAAGAGGTACTGTAATCGGACGAGCCTTCCTATCTAACTATCTACACGATTGCCGATTTTCAATTAATTCAAAAAGCTCAGAGCCTGCGTGACGTGGTCAAGTACTGAAGGAGGGCTCTATCAAAAGAAAAGTATGGATGGGAGCTGACATGGGCAGATGGAAGGAGAGGCCACTGACAAGAGCAGTGGACCTGAAGACGGTGCTGATCAACGCTAGGGGAGAAGATGGAGAGCAGAAAAAGCGAAAAACCGCAAAGAAACGCATTTTACAAACAAAAGACGCGAAGCCACAATTTTTACAAGACTGACATAATTGGGCTAGACATTTACTAGGCTTCAACGAAAAGAACTTCTAGCGTAGACAGATTCATGCCCAAAAAGAAGATACGAGAGGATCAGAAAAGCAGCAAACATGTCTTACAAAAAATAAATAATATTGAAAAAATATAAGACAAGAGGAATTACAAGAAAGCGCGGCTACCCCAGTTCTCGGGAAGGAACACTAAGCTGGAATAACCGAATTCCTCTTTAGTACCACATGAGAATGTTAATCACTGAAATTTATAATGTTTAAACTAGTAAAAGTTTTTTTAAATAGTAAATTGAAGTAGCAGACGTTTTTTACGAAAGTTTGTCTGCATTGGAAGAAATTTGAAGGGTCCGACTTTTCGTTGTGAGACCAGTTGTTTACAGTGTAAATGACGAAATTTCGAGATAGGCGGCCGAAGCAGTGTGCAGGTGGTTTTTCTGCTTCTCGTTGAATTACCCCGAACTTAAGACGTATTCCAGAATAGCGTAGTAGTTCCTCATGATTCCGTCTGGGAGGTGTCCTCCTCGCCTATTGATCTGTTCTTGGTGTCTGGGCGTTGTTTCCTCGACCGCTCCATTTTTCGTTACATCTTCAGCGTTGTCTTGCAAAACTTCACGTCCAACTTTACTTTGCTTATAATTTTTCAGGTAACCTCTGCAGCATCATGCTTATTCCCACTGTTAGAACATTTTTCAATGCAACTGCATCATGCAGTCGATTAATTGCACGTAGCACATATTTGAATGGCATTTCTCAGCGATTGAAGTAAGTTTTATTAAACTTGGATGCTATATAAGTCGGGTGGAAGGGAAGGAGCAAATCACATAACGGTTCAATTATTCTTTTGATTGATGGGAGTGAAATGGGCTTAGCTCCAAAGTTGGAGTGGACAAGCCTGGTGGGTTCTCAACTGTCCCTCCCTTAATCTACATAACCCTACCTTTCCTTGAGAAACTAATAGAACCTGTCAATCAAGTGTTGATTTTAAGTATTTAATGGAACAGTTGTTTCAGAAAGTAATTGCATCATTTGTAGGTCTGACGCAATTCGTGGTGCTGTAATTGGCATTGATCTGGGAACTACAAACTCTTGTGTAGCTGTTATGGAGGGAAAACAAGCAAAGGTACTCTTTAATACTACCTTTACCTTCAAATTGTTCTAAAAAATTTGGTCATTTTCCCCATACTTTCAAGGTCGCTCACCATGCGCTCAGCTTCTTACAAATTCGTTATTTGTTGCCTACCTAGAGCTTCTTTACTACTATTTCCATATTCTTTGCTTTATTTCGTAGACTGGATTGTGTCATGTGTTAATATGACACGTTAAATTCTAAGTCAATATGTTTTCCCTTTCTTTGAGAACCGGTTCTAATCTGAGCGTAAACTCCCCATTCTAATGTAGTATGAATAAGATGCAGGGATAAAAAGTCTCGATGCGAAATGATGACGAGGCAGTTCATATGCATTCATGTGCAAGCTTTTTGAAATTATTCATTGCGCAGTTAATACTTTCCTAGTGGCTGCTCAACATCTCCAGGTGTGGCGTGCAAACTCGATAGTGGTAGCAAGATGGTTTATAGGCATCTTAAAGCTGACAGATGCGATGAGCTGAGCGTTGAGCCTTAGCAGTCTGTCTGCTCTTTTTTATCTTCAAGTTTCACCGAATCTTAGCAGTTGGTTTGAGTAGATTACCTTCGTCCATTCCGTTCAACTTAGTTGTGAGCGTCAGAATGAGTGTGGTGGTTCAGTATTAGGTGCCCAAGTGGGTGTGCCACGCGATGAATAGAATATCCTCACTTTCTCGCTTTTGTCTCACATTCGAAACCTTTCGAAAATAAGAAATTACTCGACCATTTGGTCGAGCTTATCGCTTTAGAGCAGCAAGTACATTGTTATCGCTCATAATTCATGTGATTTGGTTTCAATTATAGATGCACTTTGAAAATATGTGTATTCAGAGTGATGGACTCGTTTGTTACGCCTTACATTTGGTATTGGTGTGGTAAAATGGTAGTTTATCATTGAAAAACTCCGCCAAATCATTGGCTGTCTATCGGGTCGGAGTAGCTAAGAGGGAACCAGTGTTTCAAGCAGTTTCAGCGATCACCACCCCAGTTAGGATTGGTCGTTCAGCAAATCTCCGCTACTCGCTTCTGTGGTGCTCATTCTCAATTGTTTCACACAGTACGAAACTAAATTTTTGATGATCACCAGTAAACATGAACTAGCCTCCCAAACATGTTGTCCTGCTCACTGCATTCCTCTTTTTTCATTCCCCTCAACTTCTTGAACCCCAGAAATTTCTAAAACATGCGCCTTCCTCATAGTTAGAGTTGCAGTCGCTGCTTGATGCCAACCTAAATTGAATAAGCTCGAATTTTGAACTTTCACATTGAAATTGACCTGAGAAGTGAATGACCTCCATGGTAGGAATATTTCTTTGTCACGTTCTGCTTTCCAGCTGCACATTTATGATGTATCTACTGAGTAAGGTTGTAGCCTTGCAGAGCCCAATGATCGAAGCAGCTCCGATAATCATATACATAACATCGTGAGCCCTACTCACCTTTTAGGATTAGGTAAACATGCTGACCGTTAATTGTCTTCTACACAGGTTATGGAGGTTGAGCATATTTTCCTTCGAGAAGGTTCTCCTTCGTTTGATGATAATGATATGATCTTATTCTTAGTGTTTGTAAACACTAAGCCTAAAACACTAAAACACTAAAAGCCTTATAACTTAGGCCCCTGTTGCTTCCTTGGAAAATCTCTAATACTAGTACGAGAGGAGCAGATATTTTCTCAACTGCTCTCTATCTTGTTGACATGTTTTTGACTAATCGATAGGAACGCTGGCTCATATCAGCGCACTCGCTGTCGATGGTGGCCCTCACGATAAGTGTTCCAATTGACAAGGCAGTAGCCGAGTTTCTAAGGTGCAGAGTGGACATTTTGGAGTGGTGCTCATGTGCTTAGCTTTTTTCAAACTGTTATTGTCAAGTGTATAAGTGCGTAAGCTATATAGTTTTAAAATTATGTCGGTATTAATTTCACCGGATCAAAATCAAATAGTGGGCTCCTTTACTTGTATTTCCAATGGTAACAACTGCTCAACAGGATTTCATCTGGAAGAATTTTTCGTGGGTTAATATTTTTCAATCTAAAGTGGCGGAATCGACGACAGGAATGCTATAAGGCCGTTACATCTTACAAAATGTTTTTTGTTAGATGATTGGAACGATGGAAGGATTGGCCTTTTTGTTCCGGTCAAATAAAATAGTTATTATGGGATACTGACCCGTTGATATGTTTTCTACTCGTTGTTCGCAACAAAATCAAGAAGCCAAGGCCCAAAAACAGCAAGTTATAGGTGTCTTCTGTCACCTCTCCCTTGCCTTCATTTTTCAGCTGCTAAAAATTGTGTTACTTTGTCTATCTTCTGGAATTGGTTATTGATTCATTTTCGTTGGCCTCCCCTCTCTAGTACTGTTTGATGTGATAGTGTTATTACTTTGATTTTGTCCCATTTTAAGGTAATAGAAAACGCAGAGGGTGTGCGAACAACGCCATCAACGGTCGCGTTTACGAAAGATGGAGAACGATTGGTAGGAGCACCAGCTAAGCGCCAAGCAGTCACCAATTCTCAGAACACTCTTTATGCTACAAAAAGGCTTATTGGTAGAAGGTTTGATGATGCTGAAGTGCAGAAGGATGTGTGAGTACTTTCTCCTCCACTTTCAAATTACCATATCAGCCCTTTTCAATTCCCATAGCAGCTCGTCTGAAAGTGTTGATTAGACGTTCTTATGTTTAGAAAAATTGTGCCATTCAAAATCGTAAAAGCCAGCAATGGGGATGCTTGGGTTGAAGCTCAAGGCAAAATGTACTCTCCATCCCAGGTTTGTGGAAATGTTGTTATGCACAAAATAGCTTTTTGTCTTGGTCTCTCCTATAGGTCGTGGCATTCTGATATTCTAGGTTGGAGCATTCGTACTTATGAAAATGAAGGAAACTGCTGAAAACTACCTCGGAACCACAGTGCACAATGCTGTTATCACGGTCCCAGCTTATTTCAATGACTCACAGAGACAGGTACTTGAAGATTTTCTCTACTCTAGTATTTAAGATCTTCTCTTTTATGTTTCCATCAAGGAAGCTAACCAACTTTTTATGTTCGTAACTTTCGTGGGTGATTTTCAGGCAACCAAGGATGCTGGGCAGATTGCTGGTTTGAACGTATTACGAGTAATTAATGAACCTACAGCGGCTGCTCTTGCTTACGGTTTGGATAAGGCTGAGGACAAAATGTATGGCTTCACTGAAATATTTATCGTCTAGGTCTTTTCTTCGAACTTCTCGTGTCAATACTTCGTTTAACCTCATAATTTTACAGAATTGCTGTTTATGACCTTGGCGGTGGTACCTTTGATATCTCTGTATTGGAAATTCAAAAAGGAGTATTCGAAGTAAAATCAACCAATGGTGATACTTTCCTTGGTGGAGAGGATTTCGATCATGCTCTTGTGAATTACCTTGTTGCTGAATTCAAGCGTGAGCAGGGAGTCGATCTTACCAAGGTGAGATACTTCTCAGGAACTCTAGCGTTTCGAAAGAATCTCTTCGAAAACAGTTAACCCTTTGACGACAATGGCACCCACCGGTGGGTGCCACTATGACTGGCGCATGGGACAATGGCACAGAATTTTGGGTGCCACCATACGTTCTTGGTTCTTACCAATTGCTAAATTCAGTACGCCAATAAAAGAATTTTCTCCTGGGACAGTGCCACCCACCGGCGGGTGCTAGTCGCGCACAAAGGAGGGGATCTTGGTCCCATGGGCGCGTCACGTCGAAATCCGCAATGTCGCCAAAGGGTTAATTCATTTGTGTCAGTTATGTCAAATGTAACATAGAGACAACGGTTAACCAGCCCTTATATAGCAGTATGGTCTGCAATATAGGTCAGTGCAAGAATAGAGAGGAAGATGGTTTTTGAGTCGTTTTTCCTTTTAGGATCCCATGGCAATGCAACGACTTCGTGAAGCCGCTGAAAAGGCGAAATGTGAGTTGTCATCCACAACACAAACGGACATAAATCTTCCGTATCTCACAATGGACTCGTCTGGACCTAAGCACATGACTCTGAAACTGACAAGGTTTGATTGCTTTCTCCGTTGAATTTTACTTTTTTCTTGCTTCGAAATTCAAATGGTTAGATGTGATGTGTACATGTTTTAGGGCTAAGTTCGAGCAACTAGTAGGGGATCTTATCAAGCGGACAGTGGAGCCTTGCCGTAAGGCTATGCACGACGCTGAGGTACTTGGTCATTTGCTTTCTTTGAATACTTGAAAATCTGGCCTGTATGGTAGAATCGACTCAGAAAGGTCGAGCATTGAAGTCGAATATTCCTCAGAAAGTCTCAGTTGTCCATGATTAATGTTAAGGGTGGCCAGGGTGGTTGAAAATTGATTTCCCCTTTTTTGTATCTTGTTCATTAACTTGTGTTTTAGTCATTCAGGCTGTGTGTTTTCATATTTTTATAACAAGTTCAAAGAAAGAGTGTGGATAAGTGCAGGCTACCACTTTTTCCTAAAAGTTTCGTCTTAGGTAAAACCATCAGAGATCACTGAAGTGCTCTTGGTAGGAGGCATGTCTCGAATGCCAAAGGTACAACAGACCGTTCAAGAGGTGTTTGGACGAGCTCCATCGAAGGCCGTGAACCCCGATGAAGCCGTCGCTATGGGAGCTGCTATTCAAGGAGCGGTTTTGGCTGGTTAGCTGTTTCATTCTGAATGTTGCTTACCTCCTCAGACCGATTTCTTCATAGGAAACCAAATGAAGTAGTTTCTAGGTGATGTTACTGATGTACTGTTGCTGGACGTAACTCCTCTTTCACTTGGTATTGAAACACTTGGAGGTGTGATGACGAAGCTCATTTCTCGTAACACCACTATCCCAACAAAGAAAAGCCAGGTAAAATACTGTCTATAGTTGTTTCAGATGAGTTGCATATGCATTTTCTCGTCAATGCTGCAACGATAATTGTCTCAAGAGGTCCATGGACATATCTTTAATAGCCGATCCCATCCCTTGTTTTTACCCCTATTAGGGTAGTATTCGACATTCCGTCTTTAAAGGGTTGAGAGGAAAAACTGAACAAGGCACGGGATTCTTGAATCCAATGCAGCTTTTCCTGGAAACGCCTTTGAGTTTCCAGCTCAGTATCTGAAATTATACGGGAATAGCTAACACTGTCTGTACTACTTGGCGAAAAATGTGCCATGCCCTACTGGTTGTTGTATCTTGGCACGGTAGCCATCCATCCTTTATTCGGCTCACTAACTTGTCGTTTTTTGTGCTTTGAATTGAGGGTAAGGATCGTGGAAATGTGACCCATTCCAGGTCTTCTCAACGGCTGCAGATGGACAAACACAGGTGCAGATCAAGGTCTGTCAAGGTGAACGTGAAATGGCAAACGATAATAAGTTGTTGGGACAATTCTCTTTGGTGAGCAAATGTATTTATTGTCCCATTGATAATACAGTTTCTGAAGGTGTTACTCTTTAGGTTGGTATTCCTCCAGCTCCTCGTGGTGTGCCTCAGATTGAAGTCACTTTTGACATTGATGCAAACGGTATTGTTAACGTATCCGCCCGTGATCGGGGCACAGGAAAGGAGCAACAGAGTGGGTTCCGCTCGTGATATGTTGGTGTTATGATCGCTTTGCTTGAAGTGGTAGAGAGTTGCCTCCGTTTAGTAACTGGTTATTCCACTATCTAGCGCAAATTAGCGCAGGGAGTGTAATAATGTAACTAATTTATGGGAATTTATTCAAAGTTCAACGATACTCCTCAGACTCTGTAGTAGGCGAGAATGAATTTATAATTTAAATTTTCTCTGACCACCATACTTTTTGTCCCGCTAATTTTCTTAGTAAAACGCTGAATGAGAAATATATTTATATGTCATTCTGCGAATAACTAGCTCGCTCTCTAGTGCGGTTGTACTCTAAGTAACATCTTTCTCACACGGGTGGGGTTCTGATGTAGGTTTTTCTCTTAGCCTTCCTCTTTCATAAAACTTCATATTATTTCAGTTGTTATCCAATCCTCTGGTGGACTCTCCAAGGATCAGATTGAGAATATGATTCGCGAGGCCGAAAAGAACGCCGCCGAGGACGCTAAGAAGAAGGAGATGGTTGAGGTAACCTTGTTTGGTTCTTTGAGTACAACTTGCTCATTTTCATTCATCATTTGGATTCAGGTACTCAATCAAGCGGAGAGCATCATTCACGATACTGAAAGCAAGATGACCGAATTCGCTGATCAATTACCCAAAGAAGAAGTGGGCAAAGTGCTTCTGTTGCCTTCTGTCCTACTGTGATTGTACTGTACTAATTGCTTCCAGTCTGAGGCCCTGAAGAAGAAGATCGAGGAGACCAAGACGATTTTGGCTAATAAGGACAATGAGAAGCCCGAAACGATCAAGGAAGCTGTCAGCTCACTTCAGCAACAATCGCTCAAGCTGTTTGAGGTTTGCAGATTCTCTAGTGTTTGATTTTCGTAATGGTTTGGAGTTCTTTCGAGTAATACCCGTCCAATCAATTCTAGCCATTGCCATTTACGGCATATAGTTTTTGTTTTGGAAAGGGCAGGGTTGAAATTGGATTTTGGTTTATACCGTTGAGAATAGTCTTGCGAACTCTACGGCTCAGTTCCCTTCCAACTCCATGGTTTTAGGCAGCTTACAAGAAAATGGCCGAGAAAAATTCTGGTGGTACCTCTGATGCTCAAGAAGCGAAGACTGCCGAGGAGCCGAAAAAGGAGCAGAATTAAATGTATTAATGCCATGTGATGTCATTCTCTTCCTATTCCACTGTAGTACAATAGGTATAGTTAGACGGTTGTTTGTTGAGTTTGCTTTCAATGTTCCATATTTTGTCCTTGTAATGGTCGTTTTGCTAGTTTCTTGTTACGTCAAGCATTACGGTCGTTGTTCTCATGTCATTTGTTGGATTCTACCGTTGAACCGACGATTATTTTTGACCGATCTCGGTTCTTGGTACTTGAATGTCCTTTGATTTTATCATAGATCTTATGTATAGGTTTTTTTCACCACATGTTTGTGGTCAAATTTTTGTTAGATTATTGATGTTATGAGGCTATTAAAGTTTTTCTACATTTTTTTNTTTTTTTGGTTATTTGAATTTTGTAACGACGAGAGGACATACATGGAAATGTTAAAGTTCTTCTTTTCATCTTTAGTACTCTTGCGGAGGTGGAAGTACTTTTGTGACCTTTCGAAGTCAGTTTTATGAGTTGCTCTGATCATAGAATTTATTGGAAGTACGTCAGGCTATTTCTTTGAAATCAGGCGGGTGATTTGCGGTGATTTTCTCTCTCTCATATGAAATATGTACTCAGCCACATGTGTCAGTCAGTGGTCTTTAGTCCCCGACAGATTCTTCTTCGTTCGGCGCCTCCTATTTCTCTCGTAGTGTACACTGGCTCTTGTTTTGCGCAACGTTTTCCAGCTCATCATGAAAGTGCTTTAATTAGAAAATCTTCCTTTCAAACATACCCAGGTTTTCAGCTTGTACGAATTCTTTTTGGGAACTTGATTGCTCTTGCAATGCCTTCCCTTCGGTGAATGATTCATCGATTTCATGCAACGTAGGTTTTTCTTGCCATTTAGAGCGCTTTCTGATTTCATTTATCCAGATTCCGGGTTTTTTTTTCTTATTTTCATTACGTTTGCGGTATGACCGTAAGCCTGAAGTATTTCTTTCGCGGGAACTTATGCCTAAACCGCCTACACTATTGTTGTTGGTCACGGTTGAGGGCACAAAGCACACAGAGATGTGCCCTACGCTCTTTCTTTCTCTATACTGTCGTGAGTCACTCTGAAACTTTACACCCTTGAATCCAAAGAGCCGCGTCTACTTACTTCGCGATGAGGATTTTTTCTATTTTTTTTCCAGCTAGGCTGTAATATTCGGGATTTTCTATTCTTCTTTCGCTTTCGATCTTATTTCTTTACAGCTTACATCTCTTAACTCTTACTTATTCCTCTCCGCAATCTTTTGAAAGTGTGACTGATAAGTTTACTTCTCAATGCTTACAATTTTGGCCTATTCTTGTTATCGGTGAATCAGGTATTCGAGAAAGACGGTATGGACAGATTGGGAGCTCCTCATCCCTTTTTTGGAGGTTCCACAAGAACAACTATTGCTATTGCTTGTTTGAGGTAACAAGGAATTGGCCTTAGGCTACCAAGATCAACCCCATAAAAAACTTTGATCGCTGTTCGATAGTCGGAAGCATATTTTCTGGTGAGGTGTTCTTGCTTCGTCTATCCAATAGCCGTTACAGTTGCCTCTTCCCAGCTGTTCTACTTTTTGTACGTGGCTATCTTCAAGTCCTTTCTTATCTCTTCTCGCCGTCATCTCTTATTTGCTCGTTCAATGACGCCACATTGGTTTTCGGCGTTCCGTTTCTTATCCCGCTTTACAGTCGTATCCCTGTTCTTTGTGCATTTTCTTCTACAACTACTTGATTTCTCTTTTCTATAGGATTGCCTTCCGTTTTCTCCTCTATTTGTTGCCAGTTTACTGTGTTACTCGTCCTTTCCGTTGTTCACTGCTCAGTCATTCATCCGCTACGGTGATTCATGGTAAGCTATGAATCATTGTTGTTGTTTTCTTCGATTTCATCTTCTGATCGAAGGGTTCATTCAAGTGGAAGAGCCTTCCAACACAAATCGCTATCTCAGCATTCTCTGTTACGGTATACTGGTCAAATATTTGCGAAGAGCACAGATTATCTTAAAGACAATTCGAACAGCAAGGGTCTCCTTTGTTTTCACAGAAGCTTCTCTAACAGGATGGTCTTGTAGCTTTTTGTTGTTGCACTTCCCTCTTTTTCCTTATTTTGATTCTTCCTATTTTTGCCTTTTTTGCCGTTGATGTCCATTTTCGTTTGGAGTTTATTTTTGTTGTACTGTAGTTCAAGTAGTGCTTGTAGTCAATGAGTCCTGGAGTAGGAGCTGTGTCAGTGTTGTTGGGTGCTCAATGGGGTGACGAAGGCAAGGGAAAGGTGATCGACTATCTCATCGAAAACAATGATGTAAGTTCCGTTTTTGCTCTTCTTTCATTCGATTTCTTTCGATGTTTATTTCCTTCTTGCGATTTTCTGGACATCTTTCTGCTCGTCAGTTGCCTGTTGTTTTTCATCGATATACAACTTTACTTTACTCAAACAGAACACGAGGTTAAATATTACGATTCCCTCAGCTTATGTTTCGGCGATTCTCGCCTTCTTCGGAACCTTTCAGAGTTAGCCTACCGGGAAGACAGTAGCAGCGTATGTCAGGCTGATCAGAGTTCACATTCAGTTCAGAGGGTGAACTCTGATCAGCCTGATATACGCTACTACTGTCGTCAAGGTGGGCTGACTCTGCTGATCTGAAAGGCTCCGAAGAATCGCCGAAGCATCAGCCGAAGGATTTGGAATATTTAGAATCGTGTTCTATTCCATTGATATGTTCCATGTCCTAGAAAAGTGGACGGACATACGATGAGAACCTGCACGTTCGGTGATTCCAAGGTTTTAATTTCTTGGTATCAAATTCATATGAAGAAGATTTTCTCAAAATACTTGTCTTACCGCGATTTCTATCTATTTAGTGGTGATAAACATTCATGTAAGAAGCAGCCCCGAATGCAGCGTCACCAATCCACCGTTGGTGTGTACTGATTTTCTTGGACCCCTCCAACGTTCCTTTTTCTCTGATTTCGTTAGTCTAAATGGCGCAAAGTTCATAAGATAGTTTTTGGACTTCAACACTTCCATTTTTCTATTCATTGACGTGCGAGGCTGTTTTTCTTCGAACAAAACCTGATTGTGTACATATGTAACCAAATCAAAAGTAAATACTCCCAGATCAATTTCTAGGCAAGCGTTCTATTGCCGATAAATTGAAAAAATGTTGTTTTTTTCAATTTATCGGCAATAGAACACTCGCCTAGAAATTGATCTGGGAGTATTTACTTGCTCTTTGCCCGGACCACATTTTCGAAGCATTCAAGCACATTTTTTTCTGCAATCAACTACTGTATTCTTGCTGTCGACATCACAAACGGAAATGCTGACTGGTTTTTTTCTTAGAAAGTTTTGGAAAACAGAAGATTAATCGTTCGAATCTGATGTTGGATATCAGTATCAAGGAGTTATCGATTAGTATAGTCGATTCTCGACATGTTTCGCAACTTATTAACAAAACTCTCAAAAAAAGCAGTAAAGAATGTTGATATTCTTAAGTATTTTACTGCTGAGTAGTTCTTTTCCGTTAGCGTAATGCCATGCTGACCATGCAGTTCAAAAAAAAACAATTTCCATCCCATTGAACAGTTTTTTGAAATGTGATCAAAGTTATTTTCATTTTTGCATGTTGAATGGAATTTGACGGGAGTTTTGATGACGTAAGTGATGAGGAGGAGATAAGAGAAATCTGAATCTCCACAAGAAAACCGTTTTTTGCGGACTTGTCAGTTGCAGTTGGGCTGACGTTGTGTTAATATGATCTCGGGATATGAAAGAGAAGAGGGAAATTAGTTTCGAACGATGTTTTTTTGAAGTGCTGTCATTCGGCAAAATGATGCTTTGGAACATTATTGCTGGGCAAGCGGTTCTTGATCCCCAAGGGCATCGGGATCAAGCATGATGAAGGTTATGACGCGATTTTCATGTGTTTTGCTGCTGGCTTCACAATGGCATAATAAATATCGAAGCAAAAACCGACCTGCCATAGACACCTGATATTTTTAACGTTGATTGATGTTTTAGGAGACGCTTCGTAATACTAGATCATTCGGGAAGTTTTTGTCGAAGGTTTTACAAGAGTCCAACTATGGAATTGCTATAGAAAGTGGGAGCCCTCATGTATGCACATAATATATCAGGCTCGTTATTCCTCGTTTATTTCAACCTTCAATAGATGGTCTGTCTCCCCATTCTCAGCCCTTTTTTCTTTACGAGTTCGAAGTCGGTCACCCCGCCGCTCAAACCCTTTGTAACTTGTGTTCTTTTGTTTTGTAGGCCTTTCTAAGCGGTCTATGCCTCCCGGCTTTACTCTTCGAAGCTTGAAACCAGATGGTCAAAGGTGAACCTTGACCTGGTTGACCGAATATGATACTGTGAAAGCTCCTGATATGTTATGTTCATACAGGTGGGCAACGGCCTTCCACACTATTTCTATGTTAACTTCCAGAATATTTCAGAAAAATCCGTTCTCTCGGCAGATACTTCCCATACACCCTAGTATTGATGGTTTGTTGGACCTAAACAGGGGTAACTTAAAACTTCGTAATCCGTCTAGTAATTTGAGCTTATCTTTAGTAATGAAACTCTGGTAAGAATATCGACCGGTCCTGTTTGGCATTGTATCGGCCAGATACAAACTGCTTTGTCTAGTTTTTGATCCATAACCAATGATACATCAGTTTTTTCATCTTTTTCGCAAGTGTTACTGACTGCAATTTCATAAAAGTCACGCCACCAGTTTCATCCTTTCCTATTTTGGATCTGAAAATACTCTCAGTAAATTAATCCTCAGGGCTCACCAGCCTTCCCAATCTTCAACAGGGAGAGGAGCATTTCTTGATCCAGTCGCAAAACTCATTATTTTTTTTTACTTTATCTACACCACTTATTTCGTCAATTATAGTTCCTCTGATTCAATTCGGTTTTATCGTTTGATTTGATGTTTCAATAACTGCTTTTACTTCAACGCCGCAAGCGAATCGAATGTCGGGAAGGGTTGGCGAGTTGTAGAGACGGTGTCTCTTCGGTCTCTGGCTTGAAAGCCATAGCTTATCGGATCCAAGACCTGCTAAAATAGTGTAAGGTATGAAGAGCACGGTGCCGGATAGCACAAATACTATTTCGAGACCTGCTCGAGGTCAAACTTTTGTCCAAACTCGCCAACCTTGTGAAACTTCACCTCGATTAATTTCATATTTAGTTTCCTGAATAGATTAGAGATTAGAAAATCAGAAATCGCCAATGCGTTCAGTGTTTGGTTTCATGTGGGTGACACTGTGACTATTTAAATCTGTTCAAATTTCTTTGTTTACCTTCGACTTTCGTTTGCGTGTTCGAAGGATTTTCGTGTTCGAAGGATTTTGTTTGTGGATATTTACATAGATGAAGGTACTTTCGGTCCAAAGTCCGGAAGCTTCACAAAAAGTGATTTTCTGCAATATTTTCCTAGTTTTAGTTTTATTTACCTTGTTCCGATCAGCTGTGCTCATAACTATTCAGAGATCCCATCGTTCCCTTTTTGTAATACTTTATTTTGTTTTGAATTCCTTTTTGTGTCACGTTTTGGAAGGGTTAGAAAGTGCCAAAAATAAGTAAGACTTTTATAATGTGAATGAATTTGGATCGAACCTGAACCATACGTTTTTGGATTTTAGGTGCAAGTGACAGCACGCTGTCAGGGAGGTAATAACGCTGGCCATACTGTCGTTGCGAATGGAAGAAAATACGATTTTCATATTCTGCCTAGTGGAATTATCAGTCCAAAAGTAAGTTTTCCCAGAAGCATTGACAAAACCACCTCCGGAAAATGTCGGAAAAGTTGTCAAAATTCCAAATCTATTGCATTATGATGCCAAGATGAAACGAAAAGAAGTGACGCAGACAGGCGTCATCTCTAATGATGACACTTTGCACTTTTGAAACTGCTGTAATATTCTCGTTCAGAGGTGTTCATCCTTTTATTTTATATAAGTTTTATGAAGGGCGTGTTCGACTTTTTGAAGGCCCTTTGTCCTATTTTGTTCACGGGCTTTTAACGAGCGCAGGGCAAATGTAGTAGCATTGGTAGGGTGCCAAAATCATTCAGGGCATTCTGATTGATCGTGATCCTTGATCAAACGGTTCGTGGGGTCCCATCCACTTCACACCAGCCAAGCTCCCTCTTCCCTGAGGTCTGTTGATTGGTTGTTTATCTAGTTTGGGGGAGGNTGTTTCCGTAACGGAATACGGGTTGCTGATCTTCTGGGTGATTTTGAGGCATTTTCCGAGAGGTAGGATTTCTCAAGCCTGTAAATGTAGAGGAAAGAGGAAAAACTTCGCTCTTCAGCTATCNGGGTCGAATAGCGACAAGTCGGCTGACTGTCGAAAATTCTCAAAAATTGATGGAATATGAAGAAGAATTCGAAGAATTTTATTGAAGAATGCACTCAACGGCAAAGTGGAGCTGTCGATTAGGAGAGTCCGAATTGCTGGCGTATTGATTCATATACTGTCTTTCGGGAAGAATATTTTCTTTCGTCTTTCTGATATCTGATCTGTGCAAGTTATAAACCTCCTCATTTTCTTATCGAAACAAAGGGGAATGTTGATGACAGAGAACAAACAAACTCGAAGCTAGTGACGTATAATTCTTTGTCCTTTGCATCTGTTGTGATAACAGACAGGCTGAGCGTTTGGTCTCCAGACCGGAAAAAAGAAGGGGGTTTGTGAGCAAGTTGTAAGGTTCCAGCTAGCTTGGACCAAAAACGGGGGTTTTGTGTGCGACACGCAAACTATAAATAGATGTATGCATAAATAATTCCAATTCCATGAAAGACCGTCGAGTTTGCTCGTCTGCTTTTGCTTTTTCTGAGTGTTTCATCAAAACTTGATAATTTCCTTTGCTTTGGTCCTACAGCTTCGAAATAGGGAAGGAATGGAGGTGACGGGATGAGAATACTTGTAGGTGTTGGCAAAAATGAATAAAATCTGATGGGAGCTAGACGTCATTCATGCCACCTGTAGTACCCTTGCCTCTGCACGGGTTAGGTGGGATGACGAGGTATGAAGGAATGTATGGCAAAAGGTGATGGGAATTGATGAACGCTGATAAGAGGTCTCAAAAAAGGACCACTCGGTCCATTACAGCTCTCGTTATCTAGTGAGTACTCGCCAGTACAAGTGATAAATGTTGAGACGGGGGCATAGCTGGGAATGAGAGAAAGTGATTGCGGCTAATCATAGGCGTGGGATGCTGATTGATTGATTTTGAATCCCTTCCGCCGTGAAAGTGGAACTTCTCCACCGAGAATTCAATACTGGTTGATCAGTAGACCTGAGTAGACGGACGGTATCTCCCAGGAAGTGGTGGTAACTGATAAAGGCTGGTCGCGAAAACAAGCATTTGTCTAGGGCTTCCTAAGCACCTCTCCTGTGACGGTTCGGACCTGGCACTAAAAGATGATTTAAGTGGTAGACTGGGTTTGTTCATGAATGACCAAGCCAGAGTCGCACTGATTACGGTTATAAGAACTGTAGAAACCGATGAAATGTAATTTGTTAATAAAAAATGTCGACGTTTTTTAGGATTATGTTGCGGCCGTAACAGGAATTTTAGAACTTGATCTAGTAAATGTGTTGCTATTCTTATGAGCCAAGAATAGGCATATCCCTCCCCTCCACATTCCTCCTGGCTCTGTCATTGGTCTAAAGGGATCTAGAGGGTTCGTAGCCGCACTGCATTACAGCCTTTTTCACTGTCTCACTACAGCTATAATTATACAAAATAATTAGAAATATGTCGACTAGCTGTCGCGCAAGGTATGTACTCCGGTATTATCACCCACAGATGACGGGTAAGGTACAGGGCGTATTTCACAACGAATAATCTGAATAAATAGTTTGGATATACGAAGAATCCAAAATATAATAGAATGAGTAAATGAAAAATTTCTGATTCAGAAGGCGGCAGGATAACCTCTACTTACATTTACTACCTAATGGCATTAGACAGCTTCTGGCTTCTGTTATGTGCCTATTCAATTCTTGAGTTCTCACAAAAAAGGTCGTAGGCCAACACAAGTGCACCGCAGCCCTTGATAGAGGTGCCCATTCTGATATACATAAAGAAAAAAGTATAGAGTAGCATGAGCACGTCTCAGCCTCTGCCCGTGTGGAACGCATGGCGCATTTCAGAGCATCAGTTAAAACTAAACAGTATTCTCCCCACTCTTTCGGTTGTAATCAGGAAGGAGAGCTTTTTTACCAAAGTTCTACCAAAATAGCTGTTAGTGGTTTTTTCCTGGAACGATTATCCTGGGTTTTTCATGAGTTTTCTAATGTTCAACTTCTGCCCAACTGTTCTAGATTCCATTGGCATTATCATCTTTCAATATTTTCAGTGCTTTAACATAATAGGAAATGGTGTTGTTGTAAATCTTGATGCCTTCTTTTCCGAATTAGACCATAATGGTGTTACCGATGAGCCAGGATGGGAGAAGAGGTATGAAATTCATACTACAAAGCTTATTCTAATGTCAGACTACAAACAAATACTCCAGGATCATGATATCGGCTGAAGCTCACCTCGTTTTTGGAGTTCATGCACAGGTTGATGGTCGTCATGAAGCTAGCCTATCCCAGACTAAGTGGGTTTGTATTATGTTTTCTATTGTCTTGGCGTAATTGAACAAGATCAAGATGGCTTGATATGAAATTCATAGGTTTTATGTACCCTAATTTTTCATAGAAATATCCCTTTATTCATCATATCTCTTTTTTTCATACGTTCACCGTACGCCTCCACCACATACCTTTTTGAGTACTGATAGGCTGTGTAGCTCTCCTAATTAAACTCCCTTTTCCAGTAGGGGGGTACGATAGCCGCTACGGTGCCATAGCCGCTTGCCGTGAGAATTCGGGGAGGAGTATCGCCAACCCGCCAGTACCGGTATCTATATCTTAGTTCTTGGCGCTCACCTTATAGCTTTAGACACCTTTCACGGCGGAGGTAGCGTAGTGCAAAGTGGTGCACTACTTCGCGCGTGAGCTGAGGATCGAATTCCAAATATCCCGCCGTGACCAACCGAGGGCTATCCGGGGTCGGCTAATCGGGACCTGACTTGTCTAGGAGGGCTTCCATCTCACGTATAGGCTAAGACACCCTAAGAGAAGCTACTATGTTCCTGAATGGAAGCCAAATACAGTGCATCCTAAAAATGATCGATGGTGTTAATGAAGGAGTTTTTGCCTCCAAGCTACTACTACTACTTTGATGCTTCTTTTATTTTTTTTATGCTACTACTTCTTTTTTTATGCTGCTATTTTAGCAAAATAGGGACGACGAATCGAGGTATAGGACCGACGTATTCATCGAAATGTTTCCGTAACGGAATACGGGTTGCTGATCTTCTGGGAGATTTTGAGGCATTTTCCGAGAGGTAGGATTTCTCAAGCCTGTAAGTGTAGAGGAAAGAGGGAAAACTTCGCTCTTTAGCTATCGTCGACTGGTGGATCATTATCAAAAGCAGTTCCCCTCGATTGACGTCGATACAGAAGCAGAATTAGCACGATTTAAGGTAAGAATTCAGTGCTGCTCGGCCTGCTGCCAGTTGGAGGTACGCGAGCAGGTTTACATGCTGTGATCAGGCTGAAAAATAATCGTCCCGAAATCATGAGTATGGTTCGCTCACCAGAATTTTTTTATTTCTTATAATACCCTTGTTTGAACGTATATTTGATTGGCAGATAAAAAAGATGGAAATAATATTAGGTGGGATCAGCCGCATGATTTCGACATCTCACCTTTCAACTCACTGGCTTATGATTTTGCTCTTTTCATGCCCTCCTGTTTTTTAGTGTCCTTTCGTTCGCATATCGGTCGCTGATCTTTCTATACACCGCTGCTTCTTCTTGCTATTTTCGTCGTCCCGTGACGTTACTCTTCAATGAACTGCATTTCTACTTTTTGCCTCACTTTGTAATCATTTCCGTTGACCGTTTATTTGTTTTTACTGCCAAGTCCGTCATGCGTTCAGATTCACAATAGAACCATCTCATTCCTTCTTAGATATAAATATCTCATCACTGAGTGCGTGGAAAGGAGTAAAGGGCTAAAGAGCGTTCGAAGCTAGCTAGCAGTTTGAAAAGATACGATGCTACCAGATTTCCTGGTGAAGGTGAGATGCCCTGCTCAGGTCCGCTAGGCGCAATGATGTGGTTTTCTGCACATAATGACGATGGGTTTATGATTTTGGTTATTCATAAACAGCCCACTAGCTCTAGATATCTTGAATGGAATTACGACCAATCTATTAGGTTGTAACAAAAGTTCGTAGAGTTTTTTCACAAAAATTTATTTGAAAAAATAGTAATAATTATAATAAAGAATTATGTAATAAATTATTATAATAATCAGTAAATCCACGAGTTGTTTGGATACCATCTTCCTTCAATAGTGCCTCAGATGCTCTTCGTCGAATGCTGCAGCTCGTCCGCTTCGAGGCGTTCCTTCAAGGTCAAAGTCGCCATTTTTAAACTTTGCAAACCGTTTTTATGCAGTAGACACCTTCCCAGTACACACCGCATTGTCCGGAGCAGCTTCGGCTGCTTTTTGACCTC